TTTCATTCTTTGACCGCAAGGAATATAATCCTAGCATGTGGCTGCACACACGTTGCCAACTGATTGCTTGAACTGTGGTGTGATACTGAAGATGGGAACCCATTAATAAAAACATACCCAGCTTCGCTATAGTATGTTAGTATATTTCTAAATAAATGCTTCCTTTCACTACATCAAGCCCACAAAAAAAACCAGTTATCATTCTTTAGTCTTTTTTCCAGCGTATCAGATAGTTTATTATGCATAAATTGTTATGGAATGACTATACCACTTCATTGTGTATTATCCTAGCACCTTACTGTATCAGCATACCAACACAAATCAGTTCATTTTTTTATATCCAGAACTATGATTAAAATGTATGGAATAATCAATAGCATGCTAGAATAAGTAGTTAAAACTTCCAGCTGGAGTGTCCACATCATATTCTGAAACATAATCTTTATATATCCTTCTGTTATGCTTTCCTCATTGTCTGTTTGTTACATTTGTTGGTACTTTGGCTTGTACATTGCCATTTTTTCGAAATATGACAGGGTTGTCAAAAAGCAAAACAAAGTTTTGAGTCATTTTATAGTTAGTAACTGGCAGGTAGGGTTGACTGGTAAAAAAAAACAACAGTATGGTAGTATGATGAGTAACAGTATGGCAGTATGATAATAGTATGGCAGTATGATGATTAACAGTATGGCAATATGAGTAACAGTATGGCAATATGAGTAAAATTATGGCAGTATGATGAGTAACAGTATGGCAGTATGAAGAGTAACAGTATGGCAGTATGATGAGTAACAGTATGGCAGTATGATGAGTAACAGTATGGCAGTATGATGAGTAACAGTATGGCAGTATGATGAGTAACAGGATGGCAGTATGATGAGTAACAGGATGGCAGTATGATGAGTAACAGTATGGCAGTATGAAGAGTAACAGTATGGCAGTGTGATGAGTAACAGTATGGCAGTGTGATGAGTAACAGTATGGCAGTATGATGAGTAACAGGATGGCAGTATGATGAGTAACAGGATGGCAGTATGATGAGTAACAGTATGGCAGTGTGATGAGTAACAGTATGGCAGTATGATGAGTAACAAACAGTATGGCAGTATGATGAGTAACAGTATGGCAGTATGATGAGTAACAAACAGTATGGCAGTATGATGAGTAACAGTATGGCAGTATGATGAGTAACTAGTACAGTGGCTGCATCAGTATTGCCTGAAAACTAGTACCCTGGCTGCATCAGTATTGCCTGAAAACTAGTACACTGGCTGCAGGTTACATCAGTATTGCCTGAAAACTAGTACACTGGCTACATCAGTATTGCCTGAAAACTAGTGCACTGGCTGCATCAGTATTGCCTGAAAATTAGTACACTGGCTGCATCAGTATTGCATGAAAACTAGTACACTGGCTGCATCAGTATTGCCTGAAAACTAGTACACTGGCTGCATCAGTATTGCCTGAAAACTAGTACATTGGCTGCATCAGTATTGCCTGAAAACTAGTAAATTGGCTGCAGGCTACATCAGTATTGCCTGAAAACTAGTACACTGGCTGCAGGCTACATCAGTATTGCCTGAAAACTAGTACACTGGCTGCATCAGTATTGCCTAAAATCTAGTACACTAGCTGCATCAGCATGTCATAATAGTACTCATAATTGTCACATGACCAAAAATGTGCACCAGCTGCACAAGCAAGTTAAGGATATATAAACTTCTAAATGACCAGACACAATGATCAGTTGAAAAAAAAAATGAATCAACTAGACCAATTCCCACTTGTAGTAGAGTTACAAAGATAGATAATGAAACTGGTCAATCCATCCAATGTGGTATCACCTTCTTGGGGCAAGGTAATAGTTTTAGGATGTAGAGATCTTTGATGACAGTCATAATGACTGAAAGAAGAATGGTTGATGCACAGTAGCAGTAGATCTATATCTAAAAGCTTGCACTTTTGGGTGAGGAAACGCCCATCAATTTGGTGTTTGTCAAAATGTTAAAGATCAAGGTTACAATACTCCTGGTATGAATAATCATTTGCCCTAGAAAACCTATGCAAATACCATGATATTAAAAATTCAGTAACTTTAAATTTCCGAGTGCTCATAATTGAACCCATATTTATCAGAACAGATGCATCCTGGATGACAACTTCTGTGTAAAAAAAATGATATGAGCAGTGGCATTTTCTGGACCTACACATGTTTGAAATGTGTCTTTTAATTCCACACCAAAGAATCAGGTGCTAATTTCAGTAATGAGTATTCCAGACTCAGTAAAACAATATCTCATGGTAATTAAAACTCAAAGGAAATAGGTTTTCACTACAAGTTTTTTTCAGAATAAGTGCCTTGGCCAATCTGTTCATACAGTGTGCATTTAGGATAATAAAAACAGCAGTTTCTGGCAATTCAATGTCTATTAATAAAATAATAACTTCAGCACAGTAAGTTTAGTTCAGGACTTATATGCCCTGACCAAAGGTCTAGATGATTGAGACCTGTTGCTTAGTGTATCCATAATCAACCATGCCCAGACCAAAGGTCTAGATGATTGAGATCTGTTGCTTAGTGTATCCATAATCAACCATGCCCAGACCAAAGGTCTAGGTGATTGAGACCTGTTGCTTGGTGTATCCATAATCAACCATGCCCTGACCAAAGGTCTAGATGATTGAGATCTGTTGCTTAGTGTATCCATAATCAACCATGCCCTGACCAAAGGTCTAGGTGATTGAGACCTGTTGCTTGGTGTATCCATAATCAACCATGCCCTGACTAAAGGTCTAGGTGATTGAGACCTGTTGCTTGGTGTATCCATAATCCACCATGCCCAGACCAAAGGTCTAGGTGATTGAGACCTGTTGCTTGGTGTATCCATAATCAACCATGCCCTGACCAAAGGTCTAGGTGATTGAGACCTGTTGCTTGGTGTATCCATAATCAACCATGCCCTGACCAAAGGTCTAGGTGATTGAGACCTGTTGCTTGGTGTATCCATAATCAACCATGCCCTGCTTACACAGAGGATTATTAAGGTAAGGTAATGACTGGATGATTCTATTAATTAGAGTATTAATGTCCTGTTCATAGGAATCTTAGTTCTTCAGGGTGAGCATTCCATTGAAATTTGCACCTGGACTTGATAATTCTTTCAGTGTGTTATTTATATCTAATATTGACTACAAAGAGTGGTAATAAAAATTGCTGTTGATTTTTTTTTAAACTGATTATAGTTATTTACCAGTTGGTATGATATTTATGCATGACCCAGTTCACTATTCATTTTTTTTAATCACTACTGATCCTTTGAAAAAAAAATTTTGTTGCCAAAACAATTTGCCATGTGCATATATTTTCACCAGATCAATCTTATTCAGAAATGGTGACTGGTGATCCACAGACCAGCTCCTAAAAGTGAGTGCAGTGTTCACATTTAGAGGGTGGCCTTGACCTGTTTTTGACAGCTCACTTAGTATTCACAGATTATATCTTAGTCTCATAATAGAGTGTTTATTATTTTGTCTGCTTTATAGCACTGAAGATTAATTTTGAATTTAGAATTTTAAATGCCTGTATGTTCATCACAAGCTTTCTACAAAATTTTCTGTTCTGGCCAACAGGGAAATCTGCTTTATCAGGAAGAAGTTTTGGAAGTTTTTATTTTATCACCAATGCAGGTATATATAGGTGCATTATACCACTGGAAGCATTGAGGCAAGATTTCATATGACTGATAATCTGGCAAATAGAGGATTATGTAACACCTGTTTTTGATGAATCTGATGTCTGTGCATTTTTTCACCTTGGAAATTGTGCTAACATTTGTCAGATAAATATATTCAAATCTCAGTGCCAGATGATGCAAAAAAAAAAACCCAGCTCCAAAACCCATCTGCACTGATTATCTGTTTTTCAGTCATAGTGGTTTTTGTATGTTATCTAAGTTTGTCTTGAACATATAGTTTTATCTAAAAAAAAAAATACAAGAGATTCTGTTTAAATTTACCATATATACTCTCTTATAGGTCAAGAAAATGTGCAAATAACAAAGATCCTGATGTGCCATAGAATAATGTGCCTGCCAATCAAGGTCTTTATTGTTTGTTCTGCTGATTACTCCTAACAAACTGCACAGACAGAGATCTGCGGGCACTTATGCAAAGGTAGATCTGGGTCTGTGCAGTTTGCAGTTGATCTTGTACAGGAGTGTAACAGGTATGTAGCATATATTTTTTAACATAGGTTGCATTAGATGTACCGTACTTGATGACAATATAGAATTTTGAAATAGGACTGAAAATTCTTAATTCAAAAGAATGTACTATTTAAGTTTTAAATTAAATCCATTTCTGACCCTGATCATATACAATAGATAAATAGTTTACCCTCTTCTGACCTTGAAAATGTTGCACTGTAATCTTAAAAGAAAAGTGCACTCTCCCTCCAATTTCTTCTTGAAATGCATCAGTGTATCTATACTTGCATGCAAGTTTAATCCAGCTGCAGATCTGCCATCACATTATGTGCTGGCAAATTGGGGTCTCTGCAATTTGGTATGATTAATCAGCAGAACAAACAGCACAGACCCTGAGCCTTCATAATTGCATTATAGAATGGCTGGTCAGTCTTGTTTTGTTTGCAGTCATACCTAGTTTGTTGTTGTTGTTGTTGTTGTTTTGGGGCTTAACACCATTTTTTAGCATAAGATAGGCTATACATGGCAGCCAGTATTGATGGTGGAGGAAGAAACCGGAAATCCATGGAAAGAACCACCGACCCACATGAAGCTACTGGCATGCTTTCTCACATTTGTAAGCAGCATATATGATACAGTACTAACATTAAAGGGATGATATCACTTTCTTGTAGTGTATATTTGTATATATAAAGTTATAAAAAAATGTAATATTAATTACTGAGAAAAGTGTATGGATTATTTTGTTTTGCTCTGACTCCTTGTTTGTATTTCCCTCAGGTATAGAGACCACTCCGGTGGCCTAGTTGTTAGAGCATCTGCCTTGCATGAAGGAGGTTGTGGGTTCAATCCCCGGCCAGCTTGTAACAAAGACTAATAAAAAGATATTAGCAGCTGTCTCACTTGGTAGCCATCATTAAGATGTTAGTGTTAAGACTGGTCAGCCTGGTGTCAGGATAATGGGTGGGACATTATCTTACATGTTTGCAGCATGATGCCCCAGTGCTAGACATCACTATAAACTGTGACACTGCAGACTTTGTACTGATATCACTGAATAATTGTTAAAGCTATGTTTAAAATCCAACCCCCAACCTCCCAGGTCAAGCATATCATGCTCTGTTAGTCTGTCAGTTTTTCTGTCTATATTTTAATTTTTTATAGCCATTATAACTTTAGTTTTAGATTGCATATCTTAACCAAGTTTTCAAAATGATCTGTTTGTAAGATACATATGTAATGATATTGGTATCAAAAGGTCAAAGATTATACTTACTGTCACCTGCCCTACATTATTATTACTAAAACCGTAGAAGGATGGTCAATTAAAAGATTCAATAGCTCTGAGCCTGGAGTCAGCTTGGCCGAAGGTCTTGGTGTATAAAGTATAACAAATAATAAGAGAAAGGTGCAACAGTTTAATAAATTATATCACAGTATTCAACAATTACAGGACAATATTTGGTGCAATTGCTTCCAGTCAATACAAGACCTGTTCAAATTGACAGTTACTTCATCATGCAAAATAAAATGTGAGAGTGTTTCCTTCCTGTATTCCTACTATGTTACTCATCTGTAACTTCCACTTGTCGGTACTTCTGGTACCCTTGTTCCGTTCTCCAACCCTGTGCATTTGCACTACTGCCTATTCATCCAGCCCTATACCATCACACTGCTACCTATAATTTTCCTGGCCAGGCTTCTTCACACTACTGCCTATTCATCCAGCCCTATACCTTCACACTGCTCTCTATAATTTTCCTGGCCAGGCTTCTTCACACTACTGCCTATTCATCCAGCCCTATACCTTCACACTGCTACCTATAATTTTCCTGGCCAGGCTTATTCACACTACTGCCTATTCATCCAGCCCTATACCTTCACACTGCTACCTATAATTTTCCTGGCCAGGCTTCTTCACACTACTGCCTATTCATCCAGCCCTATACCTTCACACTGCTACCTATAATTTTCCTGGCTAGGCTTATTCACACTACTGCCTATTCATCCAGCCCTATACCTTCACACTGCTACCTTTAATTTTCCTGGCCAGGCTTCTTTTCACAACTGCCTATTCTCACATGCTCTCCATATCTTCTCCTCTCTCTAACCATTGGGTGGTGTCCTATCTCACCCAGAAAGCTTTCTGTGGATTGGATGGGACGTACAATTTTGTCTCCTTTTTCAATCATACGAAAATTAACATATTCTCATGGACCTTTCATCAGCATAATGGCATTTAAATCATTAGGTCAACTCATACACTCACATTTAAATATTCCACACACTTGATCTTGTTCTATAATAAAGGCTATAACAATGACAATAATATCATGACTTCTGATGCATGTATATCCCTAATTTTCAATATAGTATACTATCCTTATCAACAATGTTTCTATGCACTTCCTACCATACAAATTATAAAGACACATGCAAATATAAAAATGCCTAATTATTGTATACATATGGCCAACAAGGCCTAACTCAGCATAATTTACACTATATATTCAAATACAAAAAAAGTACAAGGTCTAACACTACTCACTATTAAATTCTGTTATGCACCATGTTGCATCATTATAGCAGATTACACTATCCACTTCAGTTCTATCCTAACAACTATATACATTAATCTTGAATATTAATAATTTGCTTTACACATAGAAGATTAAATTTCCACTATATTAAATGCAGGTAATAATATATAAATCTTACAACACCTAGTTAGGAAAGTGTTTGAGTGTGTGTAATTTATGTTTTTTATGTAGCTTTCAAAAAATTTCAGTCATATATCACTATGTTGTCTGCAGTGTGGCAGTTTATAGTGATGTCTGGCATTGGGGTATCATGCCGCAGACATGTAGCATGATGTCCCACCCAGTCACATTATCCTGACACCAGACGTACCAGTCCTAACACTAACCTCTTTATGCTGAGTTCCAAGTGAGGCAGCTGTTACTACCATTTTTGTAAGTCTTTTGGTATGACTCGGCTGGGGATCAAACTCATGACCTCCCGCATCTGAGGCGGACACACTAATGTCTAGGCCACTAGAGCGGTCCCTATTTAGGAAAGTGAGACAGATTCAAGTGAAGATATTTTACCTCAAAAGCATTTGTTCCAAATCTCGTCTGAATTCCCTAGAACTCCCTTTTCCTGCTCTTTTTTTACAGGTGCCTAGTTTACACTCAGTGTATGTGATGTTTCTGTAGTTACTTCCAAAACTGTACTGATTATTCCAAAATGAATGCAACAGGATAATGTCTGGCTGAGAAACTTGCCCAAAATTTGACTATCTTAATTCTGATTGGATACCAGTGGCCTCTTTGAAAACTGTCCTGGGTAGTAGAACTGATGTGTTACAATATCAATTTTTCTGGCCTCTGGCTGACTGATGACATCAATGGCTGATTGCAAAACAAACACCACCACCTCAAGGTTCTCTTTGAATTAGCTGTGAATTTGACTGTGATGCTATGGCTAAGACACAGACAAGTAGTTTTCAGAATCAGTCTAAAGTCAATTTTGACATTACCCAGAGTACTTTGAATTACAAATTCAATAAGAAGACATTTGTAAACATGAGGCAATAGTTGTTAGCAATTTTCAAACACAATGTGACACTTTCAGTTAACTCATTAATCCCTAGTGTGGCATTTACAGGGACAGGAGGTGGTAGCCTACTTCTGAACTCTGTAGCGTTAAGGCCATGTGCCACACAATAAAGTGGGTGGTATTATTGAAAGGTAGACATATATAACTTCATGATGATACCAAATAATATGGATGTTCTAGTTGCACTACAAAACACATAGAGAAAAACTTCACTTTTTGGACCAGAGTTTTTTCCAGCCAAAATTTGCCAAAAGACATCTGGTTTTGTCTGGATTATAGACTTTTTGGCCTAAGATCTAAGACAGATCAGTCTGAATTGAACACAGATGTGAACCTTGCAAAAAGTAGGATAAGATGGGTATTTAGAATGAAGAGTGGTCTTGACATGAAAATGATGGGTCCTTTAAGCAAAAAAAAATATTTAAAAAAGTCTCAGACTCCAAGAAGAAAAATTTTGATGAATTTAAATAAAAATATACATGATAATTGGAACACAAAACAATTCCATTTAAATGTGATTAATCAGCATGAATGCTAGACTGTCAAAATGAGTTGTGCTTATTAAAGATATTGACAGGAAAAGTAACATCTTAATTAACTCCAGAAATATGTACTTTCCACAATAATTCAGATTTCTTTAATAAGCTTCCACTACAATTTAAACTAAAATGTGGCTGTTATATGTATGTTGTTGTTTTTGTAGGGTTTAAGCCATTTTTAGCACAAGATAGGCTATACGTAGTGTCCAGTATAAATGATGGTGAAAAACCCCAGGAAAACTTTGGAAAGAACCACTGACCCATGAGAAGCTACTGGAAAGCTTTCTCACATATCCACATTGGCTGAATCAGAGACTTGAACCCATGCATACAGAAGCTACATGTATGTAGAAACTTCAGCAAGACAAGGTGCATTATAAAATAATAACTGATTTATTACTCTAGTAATGAATCTAACATTATTGTTAAAAAGAGTAGGCAAGATTAAAACTTTCCCTTCCATATCCTACCAGGTTGAATATATCCTGGTATGTACATTTCATTACTTATCAATTAGATATGCAAGCCAGAATTGCAAAATGTGTATTTCATGACTCAATTGTTGAAAAGTTAGGCATACCACAATTTTGCTTCAAAATGACAACGCAGAAATGTGCAAATTCAGTCACCTACAATTTACGAATGAAAAGTACTGTATATATTTGCTTTTATATCAAGTCAAACTGCAAACAACAAAGATCCAGATCTGCTGTAGCATGATGTGCTTGCACATCAGGGTCTCTATTTGTTCTACTTATTGCAGTAAAACCTGTCTTGAGAAACCACTGGTATGAGAGACAACCTGTCTTGAGAGACTAGGCTCTTCATGTACAGATTTATTGATTATATAGTATTATGACCTGTTATTAGAGACCACCTGTCATGAAAGACCATTATGTTTTGGCAAAAGGGGTGGTCTTTCAAGACAGGTTCCACTGTACTCCTAACCAGTGCTGGTTTTAGACATAGTGAGGCCCTAAGCTATGGGAAGCTGTAGAGGCCCTATTTGGTATAAAATAAATATTTTGAGGCCCCATCAGACTGTGAGGTCCTTAGCTGAAGCTTGTTTCACTTATGCCTAAATCCAGCACTGCTCTTAACATACTGCACAAACTCAGATCTGCTGGTGCATTATGTGATGGCAGATCTGGATCAGTGCAGTTTGCAGTTGGTTACAAAGATATTAGAAGGGTGCATGGCATTCAAGGGATCAATATATGTTTTGGGATTGCACTACAGATATGATATTGTATTTACTCTCCTATAAGCTGAATCCAGGTGCAAACTGAACAGACCCAGTCTGTCATAAACATAATGTACTGGCAGATCTTTGTCTGCAGTTTGTTAGGAGTAACCATTAGAACAAACAACATATTCCCTGATCTTCAAGTGCATTATGCTATGGCAGATCAGAAATTTTTTACTTCAGTTTGACTTGACTTATAAGCAAGCATATACAGTATGCTTCTCATATCCTAGTAAGTGTACCACTTGTACAGCTTGATGTATAAATGATGGTCTTCGTTTGAGAAAGAATGTGAATTTTACTGTATTTTGTTATAAAGGATATGTGAAATACAGCCTTGGGTTGTAATATTAATGGCTTAATGAAGCTGGACTTTACATCAAAATGACCACCCATGGGTATGTATGCTAAATCAGATGTATATTCTATAATTTGGAGTCATATATTGCACTAGGTCAAGACTATAGGGACAAAAATATTTTTATTGCTATCATTTGGTTAAATCTTTCTTTTATGGTTTAGAACTTAACAACAGTGATGTGATGTGATGTGACAATTTTTCAGTCATATTGCTAAGATTTCTGCAATGTGGCAGTTTATAGTGATGTATAGTACTTAACAGCACTTGATGACTTGCTAACAGATTTGAGGTGTTCTAAGTCATAGTTAGGATTGACATGTCATTGCATCATCATTAAAATCATCATTATTATTGATCATTATCATTATCATTATTATTATCATTAGATTGGGGCTGTTATACATCAATTTTATGAAATTATGTAGATTTAGTCAAAAGGTGCAATCTGCACTTGATTGTATTTATATGTACATTTTTAGCAGTAATTTCACTTCATTTTACTTAGGTGAAGTTGTCTTAGGGTTGTATGGGTCAACTGGTTTGGAAGGACTACTAAGAAAGTCAACATAATTTAGTTATCCTTGTGTGAAATACAGCCATGAAAGGAATAACTCAATCCTTGGTGTTCATATTTATTTTTCATACATGAATATCAAACAGTGGATGCCATCTTGTTGTCTGTAGACATGTAACTATTTCTGAGTTGCTTTACTTTAATAGTCCTCAGTGCAGAGATGTTGTTCTTTTTCTTTCTTTAATAGTGACCTTGACCTCAGCCATTTTAATCGATAGTCTTCTTTTCTATGTAACCCAAGTTCAAGCCATTTTCAGAGTTTGGGTCAAGTTTAATAAGTAGAAATGAGTTGAAAACCTTTTTCTTCTTTTATTGAGTGACCATGACCTTTGATCTTTTGACCTCAAAATCATTAGCTTTCTTTCCTAACCTCAAATATAAGCCATCCTCAAAATCTGGTTGTGGAATGTCACATAAAACTAATGATCTTGTGTGGAAACTATTTTTACCTCTACTGGATGCAGACCAGAAGATATAGCACTAGTAAGATTTGAAAATGTAGAAAACCATTAATTGCTAATCTAATTCATCTTTGCAGATTAAAGCAGTGTTTCAAAAATAATTCAGTATTGTTCACTGTTATTTAATTCATATTGCTACAAAACTATATTCTGAAAATTATTTGGCAAAATGTGGTGTTCAGATTATTCTTTTACCATTTATATTTGAAGACTTTTTTCACATGTCAGTCATTTTCAAATTAGACATAGGACAGACAATATGCCCATACTATACTTCATAATCGGCTGAGAGAAAAGTTGAGGTAGGTCTTTTTTATTAAGTTATAAAAAGACCAAAAATCCTCCAAAAGAAACACAAAAAAAACCAAAAGAAAAAAGACAGGATCAATATAGGATGATGATTCTTAAAGTGAAATGTATTTTGTTTATTTAATTCCAAGAAAGATAAGTTGAACTGTTTCTCCTAAATTCTAACATCTCTTTTTTATCATTGAATGCTACAAGTTTACTACTCCAATTTTTTCAGTTAATTAGAGGAGAAATAAAAAGGGTTCATATGTTATTCATGTACCATAAGAACAGTACTTACTTATAAGTCAGTTAAACTGAAAACAACAAAGATCCAGATCTGCAATAGCATAATGCACCTGCAGATCAGGGATTACCAAAGTGCAGAGACCTGGATCTGTAGGCACTTTATGTGATGGCAGATCTAGGTCTCTGCAGTTTGCAGTTGGTTTCATCTTATTAGCTAGTACATAAGGTGAATGCATGCTTTGTTTGTCCACAAAGTTTCAGAATTCAATATCTTATCTGCCTGATACTATAATTTTTCCAAGAACTGGCATGCCAAATTTGGTGAACTAAATTAATACATTGCTGGTGATAGCGGCTCTAAAATGAAGTAATGTTACAGTGAACTTTACATTTAGTATTAGTACAAGTAAATAAATTATTATATTTCATATTAGTATAGGCAAATAAATTAATACATTTAATATTAGTACAGGTTAATAAATCAATACATTTAATATTAGTACAGGTAAATAAATCAGTATATTTAATATTAGTACAGATAAATAAATCAGTACATTTAATATTAGAACAGGTAAATAAATTGGTACATTTAGTACTAGTACAGGTAAATAAATTGATACATTTAATATTAGTATAGTTAAGTAAAATAGTACAGGTAAATCAATTGGTACATTTAGTGTCAGTACAGGTAAATAAATCAGTACATTTAGTATTAGTACCATTAAATAAATCAGTACAATTATTATTGGTACAGGTTGATCATTTATTACATTTAGTATTACAGGTAAATAAATTGGTACATTTAGTATTAGTACAGGTAAATAAATCAATATATTTAGTGTTAGTACAGGTAAATAAATCTGTACAAGTATTATTGGTACAGGTTACTCATTTATTCCATTTAGTATTAATCCAGGTGAATACATTTGTACAGTTATTATTATAACAGGTAAATAAATCAGTACATTTAGTATTAGTACTGTAAATAAATCAGTACAATTATTATTGGTACATTTGATCATTTATTACATTTAGTATTATTACAGGTAAATAAATTGGCACATTTATTATTAGTACAGGTGAATGATCAGTTCCTTTATAATGTAAACAAGTGTTTTCATGATGTTTAGTACCCAGGTGTGCTACATATTTAATTTGCTTCCTTGCAGCTTATGTTAATACAAAATGCTTGCATTCAAAATATGGGTTTAGAAAAGAAAATACTATTTTCTTACAGCTTAAAGGGTTTGAACTATTCCAATGTTTGATTGTGGTCACCTTATGAATAACATAAAATGAGTATAAAAATCTGAAGGATTTAAGGGATTACAGAACTATCACAACAGCAACAGCTAGTATCCATTACACAAACTGCTTGTGGTAAACCCCTCCTCAACTTATTTGTGGTGGTTTGGCTTTGTGTCTAGGAATGACCACCAATGATGTAATTTGCCCAGTATCGAATAAAGTCAATAGGAAGTATGAACTTATGAATGGAACAAATATGTAATCTGAGCTAATATATGGAACAAATAAGTCGAGCCCCAGTTACAAATAAAGACAAAATTTAATAAAATTTTAAAACAATAAAATTCCACAAACAAATGATATGAAAGTTATAATTCGAAAGATACTTCTTTCTTACGTAATTAACTAATTAAGGAAGTTCAAAAATGCAAATAAAATAATAAAGCTAGCTGATTCTGTTTATGCTAGAATCAAAATCATCATTATGAGTCCAAGTATATGATCAAATAACTCTGCTTGCATCAATTCATAACCTGGTGTCTGATTCCGTTCCACAGGTCCTCTTAGACTGTACTGTTGGTTCCTTTGCATCAGTAAGTCTACTGCTTTTCTTTTTTTCCAAAAATTCTAGGTGTTTGACCTTTCCTTTTACACTGCCCCTTTTTCCTTCCACACTGTTTGGGTTGTAGACATGTCTCTTCCAGACTATCTCACCTTAAAGAAATATAAACAAAGCAACCAAAATGTTCCATTATACAGAATGCATCATTAGAGGTTAACTCTATCCAATTCAAACAGACTATATGGCTACTTATCAGAACTTATAGCTTAGGTCCCAGACTAATGGTGTGAGAATGGCCATTTACCCACATGAGACATTAATCCCTCATGCTGTCTCATTACATGGAATGATTGAAATTCCTTGACCTATTTTAAAGTTACCATTGTGCATAATAAATTTGTTGATAATTTCAATGACTTCCATAATATCCACATTTCATCAATTCATCCATGTATATAAATACCATATCATTGTTTGAGTTCTGCTAAATGAACTCAACAGTTATGTTAGATAAATAATTCTGTATATAGAATAAGCATGAATTCAGGATACACAATTCCCTACAATAATTGAGACTATAACTTAGCAAACCGCCAACATACATGTAAAAGGAAATATCCTTGTGCAGACTCAGATAAACAAACTTGACACAAGTAAACCATATCAAGAAAATTACTCTATGACTGAACAAATAAATTTCTGCAAATATATGCACCTACAGGCAATTAAATCATAACATATATTACATACATAAATTTCTGCAAATACATGCATCGCCAAGCAATTAAATCATTGCATTAATGAAGTACATGAGATGTATGCAATTACCTTGTTTTTCAAACTTTTGGTGTCTGTCAAATTCTTCCGATAAACGTCTACCCCTTGGATAATAGTTGTTTTAAGAGGAGTTTGCACATTAAAATTTTCAGAGCCTTCCAGATCTTACTTTTCTTTTCTCAATGAGAAATGTAGACTAAAGTTCAGAGTTCACTCTTGTACATTTAAACTTTAAGTTTTTCATGTGAATCCACACTCTCTTCACAGGGTGACCAATCAGAATTACAAAATCTCATGCTTTTTCCCCAGCACTAAAACACGGGTTATGTCTATCAACAAATGGCTACTAACTGGCCCTGGACTAGCCTGTCAGTTTCCATGCAGAACCAAAACTTGAACTCTGTTCAGTAAGATTAACCAAATAAAGCCCATAATTATAAACCAATAACTCTTGGCCTTGCCAAACCAATTCAAAGTTTATGGCATGTGAAATGTGGCCATTTCCCATAAATCTTATTAATGGTACATGTATTCATCTAAATGTGTTCTACCACAATTAGCAATAACAAACTAAGATTGACCTAAATATTTGATCCTTTACACTACTCTTGCTTGAATGTTATTTCAATGCATGTGTTTTTCCTGAAAATATTAAGTTGTTTTCATTGTGTGTGTGTCTGTCTGTATATATATTTTCTACTAACAGCATTAAATTAGCAAAGTCATGAATTAATTTAAAACATTTTTCATTTTCATAACCACTCCGGTGGCCTAGTGGTTAGAGCATCCGCCTCAGATGCAGGAGGTTGTGGGTTCTATCCCCAGCCAAGTCATACCAAAGACTTACAAAAATGGTACTAACAGCTGCCTTGCTTGATGCTCAGCATTAAGATGTTAGTGTTAGGACTGGTGTCAGGATAATGTGACTGGGTGGGACATCATGCTACATGTGTGTGGCATGATGTCCCAGTGCTAGACATCATATATAAACTGCCACACTGCAGACATGTAGCAATATGACTGAAAAATTGTTAAAGCTACGTTAAAAATTATAAACACCACCTAAAAATTATAAACACCACCGCCATTTTCATGTTTGAAGGAAACAACCAGCATGTACTGCTACTACTACTACTGATGATGATGATGATGATGATGATGATGATGATGATGATGATGATGATGAAATAATAATAGTAGTAGCAAAATGATAGAATTTACCTGCCTTTCCAGGAAAGCATTTCCATACCTTTAATCTGATAGCTGGCTCATGAAGGTTGAGAGTATAGCATAATATTACACTACCAGGCAAGGATAATACTTTGTAAGGGTTTGGTATGGATTGGTATCAGGGTACAGCAAGGGCTGTGGAAGGGGCTAAAAAGCAATGGATCATTGATTTTCATTTGTCTTTATTATTCATGTGAAAACTACCTGGTTGTATTTCTCATCGTTATCAGGAGCAAAAAAAAAATAGATATTTAGGGACATCCCCACTATTACAGAGCACTTGACTGTTGTACTTGTATACCATATGGTCAGACTGTGATATCTTGCTGTATTAGTGATGGCAGGTAGATGGTACTTCCTTCATATGAGTTACTTAGGCATCTTTCAAAGCATTTTCTTTTCATTAAATAGTTCATATTGGAGTTTTTCACTTAAAACCCTAGTACCTTAGTAATAGAATGTTTTTTTTAATGCAAGATATTGTGAGTGAATACATCTAAATGTGGCCACACAGATCAACTATAGGTACCAATAGATCCTAAATCATCAACTAAATGTGAAATTTTAATCTTGAAAACTTGTAAACAAGGATGGACATTTGCATGTGTGGGACATATGCAATGTTAAAATCACATGTGCAAACATAATTCAAATGATCTGTTTGAACATTTTTAGTCTACTTTTAAGAGTGTTGGTTACCAAGTTATTAAGCTCAATGATTCAATGGAATCAGATATCAGCTGATACTGCAATACCGTACTCTGTCAAAGTACTAAATTGAAATGTGTTACCATACAAAGGCATATTCATGATGAAAATAACATCTTGGGATATTTGAAGTGCACAGTCAGAACTGAGCCTTACAGATTCACTATAGGTACTATGTCAGCCTATATGATGTACTGAATGTCATGTTGTGATCCCAAACATTCCAAAATATATGCGTATTTGTTCATGTCAGCTATGTAGCCATCTTAAGATTAGTTTTACAAAGTTAAATTCAAATAATCTGTCAGTTAACAAATATTATTAGTCATTAATAATGCATAAAGCAAAATAGATCATTAGAATTTCCATAATATCATCTGGGCCACAATGCTGCACTACATCAATCATTATCTTAAATAAACTGAACAATAAAATGGAATGCATTCTGTGCTCAACTTACATCATTTTGCTGTTTTCTTACATGCAATGGTAAATATACTTGGGTAAAGTATATTTTATCCCTTTGACATGTATTTCATTCTCTGACAGCTTAATATGATTTTGTAGAGAACTTGAGCAGGTTTTAGTATAAAGTCTTCATCTCTGTCCTCTCACTAAATACCCTATAACTATGTTTATAAACAATTACTGATAACTATACAAGCAGATATGTGTTACTCAGGAAGTCACCCCATCATAAACACATAAATTAACTGTTTGGACCCCAAATAAATAGTTTCAATGACCTAAAGGTACAAAGTCAAAAAGGTTTTTGTCTTCATGTAATTTAAATAATGGTCTCATTTTGACTAAGATATTTACTCTGACAAAGTTTGACAAATATCCATCATTTGAGCTTATATATCGGTAGGAGTATATACATGCTGATATCATATAATATCATTCCCAATAAATATTATATATGTGCATACTTAGTGGAAAAAATTTTACTTTTTAATTTTTTTTAAAAAATTCATTTAAATTTTGAAAATTAAATTTATTTTCTTATTTTTAATTTCATTTTTATATTTTTATAGTCAATATACATAACTTTTTAAAATGTCATGTGTCTATCATTAATAATAAAGATTTGATATCAGTTTAAACTTTACTCAAATTCATTGCTGACAGGCCATAGAACACAATTTATTTTACTATATAGTCTCTACATTTGTTTCTCAGTACTGAACTTTCCACTGTGTGACAATCAATACAAATCATGTTAATCTAAAATACCTTCGAAGATGACTTTGCAGTGAAGTTCTTGTCAAGAGTTGATCTGCATTTTTTGCAGAACAAAACACCATGCAACTGAACACAGATTTCACTTCCAAATCATCACCATGGCCTTATTACTCAATGTGCACTGTCACTGAAATACACTCAGACAACCACAACATAAGCTCACATTCTAAAGAATAAGCAATTGTCTTTAAATCCTTACCAAGAATGCCAAAATCTAACTCTTGTATCACCACCAAACGGAGACAAGAAAAAAAAATGATAAAAAAATAGACTGGGACTACATTCGTGGGTACTGAACTGGAATTATTGTGTTCTGATTCCTGATGATCCTGCTTTGTACGCTTTTCTGCCTAATTTTGCTCTCACCAAGTTAATTCCTTCTCTGCACTTCTATGCACTTAATATTCTCATCTGTCCATTACACGGAATCCACCATTTTTGTTTGAGATTGTTACTTGTTGCAAAACCCTTTGTGTGCTCTTTCGTTTGTATGGGAGAAAAGGTTGCTCAGCCGCTGAAATCATGCACATATGTTACCCAATCATATCACATCCTCTTTCACAATCATCCAATCAGGATAATCGTTGTTTACATGTTTCGGGGGGGGGGTTACAGCAACTTGGCAACCAGTTACAAAGTCAATAAAATCTGCAGTTTATGACAATACTGGACAAAAATGTTAGAACAAAGTCATTGAAAGCTTTTATAGCAAGTACATTTTGTTCATGCTGGCCAGAAAATATTTTCCCATATTAATCCAGAACTACTCAAGTTAAGTACACAGATATTGAATAAAAGATCTTTGAACATTTTTTCAGTATCGTATAATTAAAAAAAATATTTACTTTTTATTTATATTATGAGAAGTTTGTATGATGAATTTTCATAAACATTTTGTGAATATAATGATTTAGATACTTGATATACATTTTTAAGAAATATCTTTATGGTGCATCAAAGTATTTGAATTGTTCATGAAGCAAGTTCATGACATTTCAGAAACTTCAAAGATATAATAGTTCATAAAAGTTCATCATTGTGTTCATGAACTCAAGTACATGATTCATCAAAATTCTTGAAGTGTTCATGAACTTAGGTAATGAACTTTCATGAATATTTGTTCATGAGCTCAAATGATGAACTGATCATAAACATTTCAAGAATGTTCATGAACATTCATGATTGTTCATGAAGTCATGAATTTGTTTGCAGAGGTTAAGTGACTATATACAGATTTTTTAATAATATTATGCTAAACATATTAATTACTTTGTGTGGCATGACAGTACCATCTTATCTCTGATTTATTGGATATGTGGGATGTCAGTCACCAAGGAGGGGTTTGATGTTCTGAAACTTAATTCATACCAGATATTTTGCTGAAAGAGACAGATTATAAAATATTTAAGTTCACTGTATGGAATATTCCATTTGGAAATGGGTGACTTTATGAGAGCTTTGCTTGCTTTATTTGCTCTTTTAGGTAGTATTGTTACAATTATTGATTATAATCAATCACATGGTTCAACAAACCAATAAAATGATCTATTATGAAACTCCATAATTGATTTTCTATAAAGGGAGACAACATCATGTTAGTTGCTTGCGAAATATGAAGGTTAGTAAAACTTCTGGTTAGCTAAGTAAACCTTCCGATCTGTTGTTAAAATTGTTATTATTTACTCCCGTAACTTAAAAAAATATAAAACCAAACTATTTCTTTTGGTGCAGACTTCATAATTAGGAACATATTGTCATGATTACATGATCAACTCATTAACCCCTAGTGCCAAGTTTACGGGGCAGGAGGTGGTAGCCTACTTCTGAGCTCTGTAGCGTTATGGTCATGTGCAACACAATAAAGTGGTTGGTATTATAGAAAGGTAGACAGATGTAGCTTTACAATGATACCAAATAATATGGATGTTCTAGTTGCACTACAAAATACAGAAGGAATAAACATCACTTTTTTTACCCGAATTTTTTTCCTTGATTTCCAGATTTCCACACCATCATTTAGGCAAGTTATTGACTCTTAATTGTAATCTTCAAACTTTAGTTTTCAAAAAACTATTATGTTTAAGGCCGTACAGAGGAAATTGTGGAGAGTGGGTCCCATTGTGATGCACCCATCATTTCTAGTTGTAGTTATTCTACATAGTGATATTAGAAGAGGCAGTATTGCTTTGCTGCTTTCAAACCACAAATCTGTAATGTACATGTTCATTGCAGTCATGTAAGCATGAAAGCACAAATGCTATTAGACTTGGCGGTAAAATTTTACCCACTTTATCATGTACCTGACATGATTAGACTTTCAGAACATTACAGCACTTTTTCAAATGTTTATATACACTTGTTTGAACTTTTGAATCAGAACTTTTGTATATACAAAATCCTTGTTAGCACACATAAGTAAAAATTATCTGAAGTAGACAAATAAATTTTGGTTAGCATATTTACGTGTTTGCATCACAAAGATGAACAGTTGTCGAAATCCCAATAAGTTTGAAAATTATCATGTGAAATATTTTAATCTGTGCATGTATTATCATGGGGTGGAAATTTTAATAGTTCATGCAAGCCTTATTTCCAAGAAACATAGGTTTTTATTTTGCTGCAGTACAGTTGTTATTGTAGACTGCCACTT